ACCTCACAAAGCCTCATATGAGGGCCAGCGGAGATCATCTCCCGTGACCGAGCTTTACTACGGGCCTTAGTCTCTTTATGGTAACGAATTTTGCATTGAAAAAGCTTGCTCTACATACATTTACATTGGTAGTACTCGCCAGCGAAAAAATCAAGTACAAGGACATAGCATTTTGATATTGTTAGTAACGAGATTCTTCAGCACTTTTGTCGCCTCCTTAAAATTTGATTTCAGTGCGTATGCAATCTCACTTCCTAAAAGCGTTTGAGTCTGATTGCAAAAAACTTGTATTAAACTTCATCGATATGAATTTCTCCACACATGGAATCCTTCCAGAATGTAAATTTGATTCCAAATTTGAAGGCATTTTGCTTCTTTCGCGCTATTGCGGTAGAAGACATCGCCAATTCATTGTTATGATTCATGATTGCTTTTCGAGATGTTGCACTCATCATATGATCGTAGTGCCTGCCTTTGGGAGATGAAAATCTGTTCACATAGATATTAAGCTGCTTTATTTGATAGGGCATGTTGCATAAAAGCCTTGAATTCTTGACATACATTAGGTCTGCGACGAGCAGATCTCCACCAGGTCAAACCGAGGTTTGGCAAAGTAAAGCGGAAAACAGTTTTTGCGCGGCTTGTATCTTGCCAGTTCCGAAAGAAAAGGGAGATTTATGATCTCTTGAACTAAATTAAGGATTACAAATAATAAACAAACACTTACCAGCAGCCAAATGAAAAGTTCTTTACGTCCAATTTTTTCGATATCGCTTCCTGCCTTGGATGATGATGATTGACTTTCAAAAGAAATCAAAGCTGCTATGCCACTACTCAAGTTGTTGCCAGGTGTCACGATGTTACGTAGAGTAGTAGACATGCTTTTGACACCGAGCATGCTAAAGGTGGCAAAGGGGACCAGTGGCAATGGGTAATTCTAGTATATAAAGAATCGTTAGCTCAGTTCTAAAATGTGCAAATAGCGGGAAACCGCGTGATAGTCCCGAAGCAAACGCTCTTCCAAATAGCACCTTTAGTTACTGGTCCACTAGTTACTTCAAATAAAATTCACAATATGTGCTGAATTTGCGCGCTATAGAGGCTAAATAGGAGTTTGCCACCAAATACGTTTGCGAAAGACGGAGGGACAAAGCGTGCGACCTACGCAGCCTACGCCGCGCGGTCTAGCCCGATCCTTCGAGCTCGCAACATAATATATATATAACGCCGAAAAATATTTATTTCATATTCATGACCGAAATACGTGCACCATGTTTATTAACAACGATTAAAGGCAGTGGCTCGGCAAATCTCAACCAGTCAAATTTTCGCTTACCTGGGGTTATTCAATACGCTGATTCCGAAAATCCACTTTTGAGAGCTTGAAAACGCCGAAAACGAGCGTTTTTCAATGCCCTTCCCTTTGGAAATGGAAGAGTGCAGCAAGGCTGATGACGCTGAATCGTTGCAGGACCCAATGGTTATAGCATTGCGGCGGGCAGCCTCCAGTGGTGAGAAGAAAATTGCCAACTCGTCCGGATGCGTGTAAGAATGGTCTGCGCGTGTAGGTTTGAGAGCAATTTCCTCGGCAAGGAAGGCATGCTGTGCAACCGGGATTGCACTGTTTTCATACTTGGGCAATAAGGAGTCTACCGCGTTAAAATTTTGAGTTGTTGAGTTTTGCCGACCCACTGTTTTTAAGAAATAAGCCGGAATCGTTGTTTTACCTGATAGGTCATCAAAATCGCGAGTATAAGTTTGAGAGAAACGTACTAGGTAAACGCAACCTTTTCATTTAGTTTTTCTCTCGAATGTGGCGCACTCTTCTGGCATCAACTAGATTATGGTAAGAGCTGCAGTGCAATCATTATATTTGAACTTTGATAGAGAAGATAGAAAGTTCTATGCTGACTAACACTCAGGGCTTGGCACGAGGTGGCTAGTTGAAAATGCAAAAAACAAAGTCCCCCTTGACTTTTGCGAATTTTTACGAATTCCCCCTTGACCCTAGACCATTATTCCTAAAAATCCTCCAAAAACGAAAGGTCGACTAGAAAAAAATTGTGTCTTTTCGGCCACAAAAACGAAACCTCCTTTGTTTTTGTCCCAAAAACGATATCCAGCTTGCTTATATGCCACCTGTGCCAAGCCCTGTCAACACTTCAAAAATCTATTTATCAACAAAGTAGGAGAATTGAAGCCTCTTTTGAGTTGGACCAACCACAGTTATTTGAATTTGTTGATATTGCTTATTGATTTACCAAACACAAAAAGTACTGGATTATTGAGATTTGTGCTAGATTATGTGGAGGAGTCTGCGGCAAAGTACGCAGGCACTCACGCACATACGCAGTGTAAGCCGCGCAGAGCTAAATCTGAGACAATTCAAGATTTGGCGCTGTTGAGAAGATGAAGGAGTTGCTTTTGAGAAAATGAACGATGCTGGCGCGGTCGCCTAATTTCCAAGATCAAATCTCAGCCTCTGCCAAACTTTGCATAGGTAATAAATTGAGTGCTGCACACGATCATACGCATTTGTTGTCAAGGTAAAATTAATAACATGAGCCTTTGTCCACCTTACGATATGCCTTCGTAACCTTTACGTGAGATAACTGGATTTGGTAGAACATGGTTTGTAGCTTACATCACAAACTGTGTCCTGAAAAACAATTGTATATTGGTAAAGAGAAACTGTAAATTTGCATTAATCAGTTTCTAATTTGATAACGCATTCTTTCAGTTAGCCTTCCGTACTAACAAAACAAAAAATGCTATAAAATCTCATTTGCAAAAAGGACCAAATATGATGGGTTGCCATTGTGGAATAGCTGAAGGCGCCTCTGTTGAAGTTTGATAGTTCCTATTGTGTCAGAGAACACACTAGCTACATTAGCATTAGGACAATTTAAGTGCACTATAGATGGAATGCTGACGATAGTAGGTCGAGCAATTTGTTAAAATGCATATTGGCGACGTCCACAAAACTATCGAGGTGTTTTGCGCTTTGGTGACTAATGCTGCTGAGATTAGCCTAACATGTTTGAGTCTGTTCGTCCCTGTTTCCAAAGAGTGAAAAAATTTGAACGAGATAAATGACAAGTATAAACCTGCTAAATCACGATAAAGCTTGTTTAGACAATGTGTGCAATGTGGTCTCGCGTTTCTTAGTCATAGAATGAATGATAGTACAACAATATATACAAGCCTCTGAAAACAGCATCACGGAAAGAACTGAGAAAAAACAAGAGGTCCATTTCGTTCCTTTTCTTGGACGGTTACGATCAAGACAAGCAACAAGCCTTTTTCGTTGCTCCTCACTAAGGAAGGCGTATAAGGCAAGTTAAAAGAAGCTAATTTCAATCACTGCTATTTCAATTTTTGGATAAAAAAAGGAATTTGATATACGAGGTGCGTTATCTGCGCCCTGCAACAAAAGCATGCACGTAGCCCCAAGCAGGCTACGCGCTTCTATACCCGAGCATTTCAACATATGTTCTTTAAGGTTTTAACGCTAGCTTTTTTGACGTATCCAAAGCTTATCATGGAGATATAGTGGATTTTGTTGAAAACATAGGAAGAAATGTTTAAGTCACCTCTTTAGGCAGCTCAAGAAAGCTTCAGGCATGAAAGTGATGAAAGTGAGTTGCATCGAATGCTCTCTTGGGTTTTCACGCTATTATTATAATTTAGTTCGGTAAAATCTTGTTCTGAGTAAACGCTTCCTTTTTTCTCGTAGAAATACATAAATAATACGACCATTTTATGAAAGCATTTCTAGAGGATGCTGAATACACTATTTTGCCCATAACGGTGACGACATCAGAAACAGCTACACTTACAGATTGTATAGTGGACGATATGTAATGAAATGTGATCTAAACATTTTAGCCTTGAGCCCTTATTATAGCTTTCGAATTCTACATTGATAAGCGAAATCTTTTTATAAAAGTTATAATCTAGGCAAATTTAAGTTGATAATTCTGCGCATGCTGCAAATAAATGGTCGACCCTGTCTTTATGGTAGTTAAAGTACTTGTCTTGAGCACCAAATTTGGAAGCTACCCTGGGATTGAAAACTATGTCTGTAATGCACGACATATACCGAGGTTAGAGAGAGGTAGAGGCTACTGATGACGAAGGGAAGCAGTATTAGTTAAGCAGGCGCATGCGCACGCGATGCGCACATACATTCACCGTTGCAAATTTCGCTCCTTTTCAGCTCCGCGGTTAATAGCCGAGCTCGCATCCAAAAATATCGCACGTTCGTCATGCTGCAGCCCCATGAAAGAAGGCGTAACGCAATTTTTTCTTACTAGAGCAACACCTCATACGGTTTTTATGTCCAAAATAGATAATAAAATCTGTGTCTCACTTGAAATCTATACACAGAAACCAGTAGGCGTTTTTGCGTACAGATCCACTCACACGGATCTAAACGGACTCAAAAAGTTGATAGTGTCGCTCTCTTTGGACGCACATCGCAGCAAATAATTTTAAAAAACAACAATAACGTGCACTAGCCCTGATACACTGACAAAAGTTTTATTGAATTGTCTCAAAATTGATTCTGGTTAGTTAGTTGAAAATCAATCAGTTGAGTTGAAAACTGGTCAAATTTATGCTGTGATCGTGGACTAGTATAAGTAGTGAAAAAACCAACCAAGTCAACTCTACAAAATTGAGCGATATAGACGTTGAGCTATCCGCCATTTTTCAGCAATGTAGAACATCAATCAACATTATTTTGTGCAGCTCGCAGAGTGTCTTCATTAATGTTTCTTCGATTATAGAGCACTATTGCAATACTGCAGCAAAGCAGGCAAAAATTATCATTGAACAAAATAAGTGTTGTCTACGCTAAACACAGCTGCGCTGCTAATAGTATGCTTAGCCTACAAAAGGAGCGCAAATGAGTAAAAGAATGCTAACGCTTACAAGGACCTTTGTCTTCTGCTGCCTTATCTCCAGCTTCATCCAAGATTTCTTTTTTCACAAAGAGAATGAAGATCAAGCAAGAGCTATTTATGATTTCCGTTTACGTAAGTTTAGATCTTTTCTTTTTTGCCTGCTAGCTTTGGCCCTAGTCGAGTCGAAAAATAAATTCAAAGCTGCTCTCCAACCATTAGGTGATCGTTGGCACTGAAATAAAGCATTGTTACGAAATTATGTAATATGAGAAACGCACATTGTGTTTGCCATCTTTCCTGTCAGCAAAATGCTGCGAGCCTAGACATCTGGCCCATTGCTTCAGAAGAAATATCGCACTTTCTGCGCTTAGCTTTCTCAAAGGGAACACAGAGTTTAAGCGCTTGAATGGTTGAAAAAATTTGAGCTTTGTGACTTATACGTGGCTAACTGTTGTAAATAGTCTGTCTATTGCCACCTAGAAAACAATCTATGTTGAGTTTTTTGCTATTGCTACCATCTATCCGGAGCATGAGTTAGTATTCTACAAAAAGGAGTTCGTGGCATTGAAAAAATCAAACACACTAATTTTCCTTCTAACTCCATGACCGTGATACACGAAGAGTTGTCTGACTTATGTGCATGTGCACGTTCCCCTCCCCCCCCCCCCCCCCGTGCTTTTTCACACTAGCTCAAAGCAAGAGGAAATGAATTAGCTTTCAATTGATTGACAAATATAGGACGTTACAAGCAAACTGTTTTATTTAGATACTGACGACTGCAACTTGTACGGATGATTATAGTAGGTTTTACACACATCCCATTATAACATAAATGAGCAGAACAAAGTTGCAGAGTACGATGGAGTGAAGAAGATGCCGCAAGAATATATAAGTACAGTCATCAGATGTCATTACATCGAAAGGTTTGATCAGGAAGCTCATGATTTACTTTCTGAAATTTGACAAACTTCATGCTTAGCTTCACCGAAGCACTATATCTCATGCAATTTAGAAATTTCTAAAATCTTGCTATTTCTTTTCTAGATATGCATTTTTGAGGACTATCGCTCAGTCAACTACATTCACACAACAGATCGCGCTGTCCCATTGCCACGTAGAGCGGTTTTGGTGGCAGAATTCGGGCAGATTTTCAACTAGCGCTTTTTTTAGGGTTTGCAGTGCCAGGTGCTAGTTCAATTTCGCGTGGGAAAAGTCGAAACTCTTGCAGAGAAATTTGGTTTTATCCCTTCGCCATGATAGCTAATATTTTACTCAAAAAAAAAAGAAGTGCCTTAGATGGACGACGAGTTGCACCTTTGACTTTTTGACTATTTCTTACAACAGTGGTACCATTCTAAAAAATTTGTTCCTAATAATCGTGGGATGTTGTGATGAAAGTGTTTCTCGTTTCTGCCAATTTAGGCTTCCCTAAAAAAAGAGTACCATATTTTAATCAAAATAAAAGACTCTTACAGAGATGCTTACGCTTCGAAGGAAGGAAAGGATATTTCGTCGAGGATATTTACAGGACTTGTAAAATAAGATCAATTTATCGTTAACCGCCAGAGCTGAAAATTTGCAGCAATATTCGGATGCTCTCGCAACTGAAGCGAAGCTAGCGATACACAGGAAAAGCAAGCATAAACGTGATAAATGCACTGTAAAGAAGCTCTCACCCAAAACATTCGAAAATCAGTCACCTTTGGCATTCTGTAAAGTGAGCTTTTCAAACTATCTTCGCGAGAGGAGAGCCTTTCTTCTGTAGCCTGAGCAGCAATTTAGATCGTTGTTACGTGGTTTGAAACAGAACAAAGGAAAAACGGCGCATTTGCAAAGGTGACAAGCACATTTCAATCACATCGATCATACAACTGATTGTTTTCTTAGATGATGCGAGGATCTCCTACGAGATTCGGCTGTGCAGTGAATTTCAGAAGGGATAAGTTTCAAGTCGTTTGCTTGTACAGTAGAATCTGTCAGAGGTATATTTTTTACATTGTTTGAGAAAATTAAGTTTGGTATTACAGAAGTACAGATCAAGGATGTATGAAAGGAAATATTTGCGAACCACCGCCTCGAAAAAAGTGATCGTTATTAGCGGTGTTTGTGGAGAATCCAGATAATGTTTCAATGTTATTTGGGATAAAATCCGTTTATCACTTTAATTTGCGGCCGCACGTTGGTTCGTTCTTTGCATATTAAGTTGGCAGAAATTTGATTATTGAACTGCAAATAAAAGCGCGAAAAAAGTAATGTTCCCCCAAAGCCCAAAATCACTTCCTAAGTATTGTTGGTACCCTATTTTCAGGCGTATAAGCCGCATTCTTTTGGCTCTAAAGGCATCACGCCAAAAGACTGACTGTCATCATGGAGCGCGTTAAGTGAGAGCATTATGCGATAATGCGACCGCTTCGCGAGACATATGCGCGGCGGCACGCCTGGGTCTGCTCGTGTTTAGAGCAAAAAGGGTGCGGCTTATACACCTGAAAATAGGGTAACTTCAACACAAGCGCAAGTTAAGGGTGCATCCCGGTATTTTACAAGAACTGATGACATACCTGCAGTTTCGTTCATTTCGTATTCTCAATAAACAATATCGCTGCCTGTTACGAGTATTATAAAAATGATGAAAAAACTTTTGTGTTCTAACAAATATCGATGATACCGTCAAGTGCCTAAGTAAGGTGATTTTCAGAAGGTCTTTACGATTGAAAAGTGCTATTGCATCTCAGTCATGTCTTGCTGAAGTGTGCTATTGGCTACTGCCAAAAGAGATGTCAGAATCAGCATCTTTCATGGCAGCTCGACTTTTCAAGCTATATTTGCCCTGAATTCAAACCGTTCAACAAAAAAGACAATACATTACATTGTAGGGAGATGTTCAATACAGGATAATTGCTTGCATTTTATCAATTTGAAAAGTGGCAAAAGGAAAGCAAGGTGAAAGTTTCCGCGCGAAAGCAAATCAAAGTGCAAGTCACGTATCGACAATGGTCATTCGCATCAACGACTGAGTAATGAACTGAAATTTGAGCAGAAGGCTCATCATGCTCGAGTTGATAAGAAATGTAATCTCATATCAAACGGAAAAAATTGTAAATCTTAGTCTTTCCTCATTAGCCTGTAAAAAACGTATATTTGACCTAACAAGGCCACGAGAGTGAAGGAAGAAATGTGCGAGCTAGATTTTAAAGTTTTCTTCTCTATAAAAATTTAAGGGTTTTTGCAGAGTTGCATGCGCTGGAAACAGACAACTAGAGCACGCACGGGTTCTTCTGTTTCGTACTTCATTTTACATACTGTATATTGTGTTTTCTCGCATTTTTTGTTATCCCGCATGCTTCGTATTCTTACTCTTGACATAGGTTAAATTTATGCAATAATTGTAAGAAAATAAAATGAAGTATTTCCTTCTCAAAGAAATAGCGTATGACTATCAATATATCAGCAATCAAGTATAGCATTTAGAAAAAGCCTGAAGAAATGATATAAGACCTTTTTGATTCCCGTGTATTCGCCATGCTGTACAAGCAAGCAAATCCTTTATTATTTCAATGCAAGTTCTGCATACCAGAGAATGTGATGATGTTGAAAATGTGCGAAATGCGAGCCCTAATTTTCTTCAGGATGCGGCAAAAGTCTGAGAGCCGACTTTGACTGTTGTGAATTACAAACTATCAATGGTTTCGTTTCAAGTTTATGTCACATTATACCAGTGCCCATCTTTTACAAATCTCTCAGTATAAATGTACGGTTTCTTTAGGTTTTGGCATTGTTGTAGACACTTTTCGGTACGATTGCTAGGCTTGACCAATATTGGCTGACCGGCTTATTGGTTTTATTCTGACTTCGACGTTTCGGCAATCTACGCCTTCTGCGGAGCCTGGAAAAACGAACTCATAAGTGCCTATTCATTCAGACGTCAAGTGTCAGGAATAAAACAAACCTAAAGAGATTAGTCAAAGACACTATAGAGCTACAACAGCACATATTCAACTCAAACACAAACACGTTTGTTACTCACAAGGGAGGTCCGATTAGTCGAAGTGGCCTTTCTAAATGAGTCTTATCACTTTGAAGAGCGTCAAACGGTGGTTCTAAATCTGATTTCATTATCTGCCATTATGATTATTTGAAATATTAATTTTTTGGGTTTCTTGAGTTTTTTGGGTGCAGCCTGGGACGCACAAAAAACTATTAGGTCATCAAGGAAATAATGTTGCTTTTTATTTGCTTGCTTTGGCAAAGCAATCAGGCTCAAACCGAAAAAGAGTAAGGGTACTCTTCGATAAAGCAAAGTAAGCCTTACAAGTTGGCTTTTGTAATTTCTCGACAAGCTTGTTCTACAGAAAGTTTGAACTCGAGACCTAAAGATTTGTAGATGCCCAAAAAAGTAAAAGAAAGACCAGATTCTCATCCAAATAATTTCTGCGAACCTTCCACTCGCATACGTCAGTACCTTCCGTATAAGACGTCCACTGTGCAGTGTAATTTTTCCTGACTAGAAACTGAATTCCTGATATTCTCAAGGCAATGCTGGGGGAGCAATGCTTCTTGCATATGTATCTCCTCACTGTAAGCCTGGATAAGCGTAACTATAAATTTTCGCCTATTCCGAGCGGTAGTGAGTAATATCGATTTTAGCATCAAACTGAAGGAGAAAAGATTTCTTTGATATTTTTGGAAGACAGCTGCTCGGAGTAGGCTGAAAATCTACAGTTATACTTACGTAGACTTGTAGCATAGAAGTATATACATTTGTGTCGAATAGCATTGCTTTGATAGTATTCGAAATGCGTCGTTCTATCAATTTTTAGTCAAGGAAAAATACAGCAACTGCACATGTGGATGTCTGGTATCGAAAGTATTGAAGTATGCGAGTTGAAGGTTCTTTGAAGTTATTTAGACGGGGATTTGATTTCTTCCGATTTTTTGGGAATTTTGAAATCTTTGGATTTTGAGTTCAGACTTTCCGTGGATCAAACTTGGCGCAAAATTATGAATACCAGCTTGTAGATTGTATTTATTGTACAGATTATTGTACAGATATTCTTTTAAACAGTAGCTCTTACCCTTTTTTGGGTTGAGTATATTTGCCTTGCTAAAGCAAACAAATAAAAAACGACATTAGTTTCTTGACAGCTTAGTAGAATTATGGCATTTTTTCCTTGAAGCTCTTACGGATCAGAAAAAAAACACCTGTCTAAAAGAGAAGAAGAATTTGCGTCGAATGGCAGCCTAACGTTTGCCTCTACGAGGTATGGGATAAACAAATATTAAACTTGGTAGTATCAAAACAATAATTTTAGAAAATTTGAAAGCCAACCGTCGATGTCAAAAAATTGGGTTTTGTAGCATTTTATTAGGCTGGAAACTAAGTTTTGCAACTGGTTTCATAAATTCACTCTCACTCAACATGGCGCACTCAAACTTTGGCATTATGTAGAATGCAATATGAGCTACAAGTGAGCACAAGTTGTTTAAATTTTGTACACGAAATAGAAAAGTTTTAGGCATTTTTCGAAAACTAGTGAAATTTGAGAGTTTTTGAGGTTTCAAGCTAAAATGAAGCTTTTAGCAGCCTAGACAACATGCGCAGTAATCCGGATTCGTCTACAAATTATTGCTGGAGGTTGACTACTTTGGCCTAGTAAGAAAGAAACAAAATTCAGGGGCAGGTCGAGATTGGCGTTCTCCACAAAGTCGAACGAGCCGATGTACGCAAGAGCTGCTGGGGACGACCGTCAATGACTAAAGAGTCCGAAGCTCAAATTCCGCCGAGACTTCACATACTAAGGTTATTTGACCTGCCGAACGCGAATATCATATTCATTTTTTATATCAATGCATCTTTCCTTGTATAGGGTGAGACCCCATATCGTACACCTACAGTAATCTTACAAAAAAGCTTTTATCACGGAATTTCAGTATCGTTCTCGTGATCAGCATGTCGAATAGCATCCCTATGCCAAGTTTCAGCCAAATCCGTCAAACTTTGAATTTTTCCACTTCATACCATACACCTACCGTAACCCTCACTGCGACGTCAGAATTCGGTAGGACAGCAGCTGCGCTTGTAGCTTACGTAATAACCAACGCAGTGGCAAAATTTGAGTGCGCAATGTTGAGTGAGAAGGAAGTTATGAGACCAGTTGCAAAACTTAGTTTCCAACCTGATATTTACTCTATCCGACTGTTATCAAACCTTTTTCAAAAGTTCAAAGCGAGAATCTTTCAAAAAAAAATAGCTAAAGTTAGGGTAGGTAAAACGCATAGGTTGCAGATTGTGGAGATACTTGAAAGAACGTTGAAGATTCCGAACAAAAACAACCCTGCTGAAAAGAGAAAGAAATTCTACATAGACAAATGCTTTAAATGATTGTCTATCCTTATTCTGAATGACTTAAGGATAGGTCTAGAAAACGACACGAACTTTCAGATCTACCTAATACTAAAGTCGTTCTTCAGCGTGGCGCGGAGGTGCTCCAACTCAGCTCCCTTCCGAGAAACAGCTTCAGAGGCTGCAAAGAGTTGCCATTTTTTGGTGTGTCTAGCTGAAGAAGTAGACATAGCGATGCTGTAAATTGTTGATTAAGTGCTCTTAACCGTTTGTAAATCTGCTCTGCCATTTTTTAATATGAACGTTCTTTCTGGGTTGATTTGAAAGATCACAGCTCTCCTGCAAATTGCAAAGATGTTTCATAGACGAGAACAATGTATTATGCTGCTTTATAAGTTCTTAAAGTTTATAAATTAATGAAATGGCAAGATTCTAACAAAATTTGGGAATTACCATTGTTGCGCCCAACCTTGGGTTACCATTCTTAAACTACCAAATCCGTTTTTCCAAAATTCCCTTTGTTTACTCCTAATAAGTCGTTGCACCTGACATCGTATTCAGAAACAAAGCAAACGCGCCGTTCATATGATTTGCGATAGACTGGAACAGATGGTAGATAGGCTGCTAGAGCGAGACCAGAGGAGTATAATGCACCTTCTCAGCCAAGTCTTGCAGGAAAGCTAGGAGTTTACTGTATGGGTTCATGCTTTGTCGTGCAAAAACTCACTGGACCTATTAGGCCTTTTCTGCAGTAGCAATTTATTTAGACGGTGCAGTGGGTTGCTACGGTATGAGCGAGTGTTTTATTATTGCCTAGCAATTTTCAGTCCAAAACTTTCTTTCGCCACCCAATAACTGTAGTGTAAGCGAAACCCTGTAAACTCTGCGTTTTTTTTCAAGCAGACCAATCCTTCTTTGTCTCATTGACCGAAAAACGTCATTTTTCATAATCTGCAGAGTATTTGGGCGAGTAGCTTTGTTCAGAAGAAATGCGCAAGTACCAGAAATGCTTTTTCGGCTTTTGAGAGATCAACTTTGGAAGCTGTGAAGCCAAAACAGATCAACTTTCACGGGAATAATAAGCTTCTGGTAAGTTTCAATTTTGAAGAGCATGATCAGCTTATCCGTCCGAATCAAACCACTTTTCCAAGAAATGAGAATAAGGAGGAAACTTTATCAGTTCATGAAGCAATAATATTTGAAACAATGGCTGTATATGATTATTGATGGTATACAAAGTATGCACGCTTCATGACACGCAAAGACTAGGCGCCTTTGCACCCGGCGAAGATAATTCGTGCATGAGAGAGACGGCAGATGGTTAGAGAGACGAAGGAGTGCTTGATCAGAAAGACTTCAATAAGTCCCGGTCTTTGAGTGCTATGATTTGCCTATATAGGTATAATGCTCCATATGAAGTGACTCGTGAGAAAAGCTTCGTAACTTTGCAAGGAGCAGTTTCAAGATGAACGCTTGTCTCTTTGCTAAAAGTACTTATTTTCTTCCAAACCTCTTCCGCAAAATTCTTCAAAATGAAATATTAGCTTTTGAGAGGAAAAATGCAATGGTTTCTGCAGAAATCTTTACAGGCTCTAACCAGCTCTCCTTTTAACAGATCGATTGAATTGATTAGGTTCTGCTTGCTTGCTTGAGCATGTTTTTTGCTCTCAGGTAGACCAATGAGAGAATCAATTGGGTTAATATTAGGCGAGTTGCAAGGCGAAACGTCATTTGAATCGACTTTACACCACTGCATTATCCTTTTTCTCGCTGGGTAGTGCCTGGTTCTGCTCAAAAATCCACATAGCGTCTTTAATATTTCCTCTGGCTTAAGAACACATAAGGTTTAGTCTTTCAAAATTTGTTTCCAATAATTTCCAAAAACTCGAAAATTTGCGATTTGCGTTTTCTACACAGCGCGATTGAGAAATTGAAGCTAGATCAAATCTAAATAATAATAAGGATTGAAACCAGGAATGGCCACTATAGGACAGAAAAACATGAAAAAGACGGCTATCTTTGCATTATGGCATGAAATGGACCTAGAAAGAATTTTCTGCGGCTGTTTCAAATTTTGGGTGGACTACATTTGGACTAATAAGTTCAAAATTCCAACTCGCCCGCTCATCCTCATAGATTTTCACTCTAACTTGAAAACAAAAAAGCCTGCTTTTCGAACCCTACCTTCATTCGATGTGCTAAAAGAAGAGCCTGGGAGCCTGGCAAGAATGCGCGCACTGGGAAAAAAACAATGCGCGCACTGGGAAAAATTTTTTGAAAAGGAGAAATGCTTTTATCGAGGCCAGAAGCGTTTACCTTGTTAGCGAGTTGGAAGATCGTGAATAGAATTTTTTCGTCTATCACATAAAGACAAAACCTTCCGTATTTAGTTCTTGCAAGGCCACGAATATTTTCTACTTAACACTACATGTGGATCACCATTTGTAAAATTACACATACCTGCTAGGTTTGTGTAGAAGTTCTTTCATTTTTTGGACCACCCTCAAATCTTGTAGGGTGAAGATAAGCAAACATCTGCAATAAATTTTAGTTCAGAATTTCCTCCTATTTCCAGTCATTATGTTCCGACGCAGCTTACTCGATGTGTACGGAGATGATCGCCAAAGATTACGACCTTTCATTTTCATGTCTTTATTCGCACATTTTTAGGATTTTTATTTCAGACTTTCGAAGGTGCTCAAATAGCCACCTGATAGCGCAACCTTTTACAGCTTGATACGTTTCTCTAACATGCTTTCTAGAATTTCACTGAATAATTTTCCAAAAGCGGTGAATTCTTGAAAAATGCATAAAACATAGTTGCACTGAACATCGCAAATTATCGAGGTTTAGAACTTCAACTTTAGAAAGTAAATTAGAAATTACCGCTTCAAAATACAGTTTCTGAAATATGGGGTACAATAGTTGCAGCCGTGATTGAGAAACACGGTGATTTTGTCTGCAAAAATAGCATGTATAGCGAAGAAATGGTGACTGTTATAAAATGGAAAAAGTGCACTGAATGTACCAACTATTTAACACTTTTTATGTTTAAGAGGTTAAGAACAACCAGGAAATTGCTTACTTCAAAATTTTTAAATCAATTAGACGTTCTAAAAGGCATGTTCGAGAAAACAAACGCAATGATTTGATTTGCAAAAAAACTTTATCACCCGGCTATCAGAGCACATTTAAAAGTCTAGGATAGACTCTACTCTAAAAATTGGTGTAAGTCAGGCATAGTAAAAATGGTGGGTCTAACCTTTGGCAGTTATCTCAGCGCTAAGTTGCAACGAGAAATAGTCTCCGAAAAGGAACAATTTCTGGATAAAATAATGCATGAAATGTAATATTTGTTGAGTATGCGAGATTTGCGGGTCGATGCAAAAAAACGGAAAGAACCTTTGCGAACTAATAAATCTTGCCAGCTAAATTTTTGATATGATAGACTTACCTGATTCAACTGGTTAGGAGGCTGAAAGAAGGAGATTCGTGATCCAATTGAGGCTGGATAATGATTAGAAAGCACGCGCGCGAGAGAGACGCAGACTGCGTAACGGACGCGAGCGGCCTTAATTAGGTCACATAACCCGGCCTTCCAGCCTCCGTCAGTTGAATCAAAGGTTATACAATCGTAAGCTTTCCGCATCATATATGGAACTGAATATAGTTGAACGACCAATGTGGACTTTGACTGCTTCTTTCGAGCCCAGCTGTGTAATTACAGTCACTTGTCATTCTTATGGACGAAGCTGTTTCTTGCTGTGAAGAGGTGTAACAATGAGGCCATCGTCACACTAAACGCTTACGAAGTTTCCGAAGAAACAATCATGCAGTTGTTCAGATAACCTGTGCATTTGACGAGCATCACAGTTCCTAACAAGATTTATAGGCATTACACACAATGCTTCTGTTGCATTTTCAAACTTTGACTGATGGACTGCAATATTTACGAAGAATTTACGCATTCATTCTTGATTAGATCGTATACTGCTCAACTTCATTCTTTTTCTAAAGCAACATACTAGTTTCCCAACACCTTAGTCACAATCTCGACTTTATTTTTAGAAAACCGAAGCGAACGCAACTGACACCATATTTTTCACAAGATCTAATTCAAAGCAACCTTTATTTACCTCCTCTCCATGTGTTTTTCCGACCATTCCTTCTCCATGTGTTCGTTTCAGATTATTAGAGGACAATTTGTATGTAAACGTTGCCTCTAACCATTGAAGCACTGCTTGGACAACGAAACGCATTCGCCTTATGTAGCACAGCTTGAAGAAGTTTTGAAACATTTTCTGTTTGCAGAAGTAAATACAGGTGAACATCACAATTTTTATTCAAGAAAATTTTGATTTTATCTCAGCTCAGGGTTTGGATTATTAAAATAATCGTAATAATAGAAATGGTCGGGGTAATGCCCCGCTAAACCCCTAACACCAAAACCACCATATCCTTGACCGTACTAGCTGATGTTGTGCAGCCTTCTTTCCAACTCCTTACGTCTTTCGGAACGTTCTTGATCGGTAAGAGGTTTACCAACAAGTGAACTCAAAAGACCCCACAATTTACTCCAAAGTGAACGTTTTCTTAATCCATGATGTTTGTGTCCGAATTCAGATCCAGGTTTGAACCTCAGTGTGGGATCCGTAAGATTGCTGTCAGGATCGTACCAAGGTCGACGACCAAGCTGCATTGTTGTTGGACCTCCGCATACTTCATGGACAAAGACTGCTCCAAGAAGGAAGATTACCTGTACGAAAGGCTAGTTGAATTCAACACTATGGTATCTATAACCAACTTACACTAGCCAGCGACACCATTTGAGGATGGGTTTGCTGAATTTCAGCTGCTTTTTATATTCTTCAAATCAATAGAAAAGGAGTAAAGACAAGATTAGGAATGAATGTATTGAAGCGATGAGTGCTCTTCCAGTGAGATAGATTTCTGGAGTATGCGATGATTTTGCATTGTATTTCACCACAAAATGTCGCTACACAAAACTCAGCAACAACATTGCCTCTATGGTTCTATCGTTTCCATATCGTTCATGGATTTTGTATGTATCAAACATATGCCCTCACATTTCGTTCAACCCAAGGCAAAAATCTGACGAAAATTGACGAAAATCTGCTGTCCTTGCAACGCAATGTACTATCAACAGTAGAAAAGAATAAATTTAGTAAAGCACATTGTTTAAGTGGCGTAATTATCCAAGCTGGAATCTCTTACATTATTTGCAAGCCAACACCGCAATTAGCTTCTGACCTTATTTGTAAAACCAAAAACTGCACTTGACAATTATCATTAAGCTAATTAAATCCACTTTTAGACCAGCTTAATTTCGTGAGTTCCATCAACAATGCTATAGAAATTTTCCATGAACAATGCAATAGTGCGTGAATTATTGTTTTCGTTGGCACATTCTGAAACATAGATGGGATGAGTGGAGTTGACAACTTGTACTTGTAGAGGCGGCTTACTTTCATTCATTTTCAATCACTACAACTGTGTTGCATTATTTCTTAATCAAAAATCTTTGATGCTTTTGATCTGAGATCTTGCCAGAAATTTTTTTGTGCTGTCATCTAACAGAAGTTGTTTTCTCTTACATACACCATTATTATGTTGTCCCAAAAGTTCTATCGTTTCAATTTTGAAAATTTGTAACTTTTTGCTGCCTTAACGGATTTGCTTCTTTCTAACTTCATCATAAAGAACAAGTCTTCCTTTTTGTAGAGCTATCTCGATGAGCTCAGCTATAGTTTAATTGTAGAGATAAAAATGGAAGAAGAATATCACTTGGGCTTTGCATTTTAAGTTAGGTCGCCAAGTCTGGAACGCTGCAGAAAAATCCGGAATTGTCAGTATGTAAGTTTTATGACCTACTCTTTGCATAGAAAAAAATCGCTGTTTGGACGTTTCAATGAAGAGTTATAATTTTTGAGAAAAGTGACACTGATCAATTTTAGCGTTTTCTATTGTAAACTCGAAAATTATAACTTTTCACACAAACAACACAGGTTTTTTCTCATGTGTTGAGAACAGTTCATAAAACTGATGTACTAGCTTCAGATTCTTCTGCAGATTTTTGGCAACCTATCTTAAAATGCTCATGCTTAAGTAGTCTTTTCCATTTTATCTCCGTCATGAGAATGTATAGTGGAAGCTCATCGAGACACAGTTACAAAAAAGAAGACTTTTCTCTTCCAATGAAATAAAAAAAAAGCAAATCCATCGCGATTGCAAAAAGTTACAAGTTTTCAAATATGAAACGACTGAGGGACAACCTAATATAATGAAGTATCAAAAATGATAGCATTTCGAGAAAAATAACCAGAGTGTCCTAACAAATGTAATTTCATGTAAAGAGCTCTCACAATCCTTTAAACACCTTTTGTGAAGCTGTTGGCTTTGCTATGGTTGCATTTAGTAAGTCGCCAATCGCCTCTCACCATTATACATATCGCACACATTTTTTGAAAAAAAAAAAGACGCGAATGGATTTAGACTTAGGCGACCGTTGCGTAAGTCATGCGACGGTCGCGTGAGTTATGTGACGGTCGCCTAATGTGTGGACATCGCCATCGCGTCACCATATCTCGATTCAGAGTGGACGAATTCTGAAGCCAAAGCCACCATTCGATTCAGTTCGGCACGAAACATCTTCTGATGTATTGAAAATGGGGTACGATGTCTTCGATATTCCGTTTCCAGTTTTTCCAAATTCTTCTGCGTGGGGTCATTTTGCAAAGATGTGAAGCAGCGCCTATCCCATATGGAAGATTCCACTGGATATTATTCGATAGTACTGTTTTTGTAGATTATCGTGCGCTAAAGAATTGCCTCAGACTTCTTTCCAAAACAGAGAGAAGAGTCGGTGAATTTTGAAAATATTACGAGTTTTATTCTACTTGCCATAACTTCCTTCAAATCAGTAAATTTTTCCGAAAGAATAGGCGTGCTCAACTCATTAAGACGAATCTTTCGATATACAGCACGTCCTTGATGCTCCGATTTCAGTATGTTTGAATCTTTCTGCGCACGTCTCTTCGTAAATGTGTGAAAGAGCGCGCAGTGCCCCGAATAGATTCCAGCAAAGACCGTTCGATAGCACTTTCTTTGTAGATCATGGAGCGCTCAAAAGCAGCCGCAGACTTCTTTTCAAAGGAGATAGAAGGTGGCGATTTGTGGAAAAATCTTGTCGTCCCATATTCTACTCGCCATAGCCTTAGAATACGAAGCTATCCTGCTAAGCAGATATGAGTTTCGTAATCAACAGTTCAGATAACCTCTATGAGCGAGTTTTCAAAGAGCTTCGGGTTGTTTGATTTTTTCTCGATCCACGCTCTGAAGCTCGCCGATGGATTTTGGTCAAAATGCTGATGATTTTGGATTGTACGGAAACTTCGCTTATAGAGGTGTTTGAACACGCTATTTGCGAAAATCGTGTCTCTTTGAGGATTACAGGGTTTTTAGAGATATGAGGTGAGGGAACTGCTGAATTATGAAAGTGCGTATCTTGCCCGCACTTCTGGCGTATCTGTCAGAAAACTTGCCTGCTTGCTTTTTTGAGTCGAAGTTACTAGGAAAAGTACTATCGAATGCTGCATTACTCAGGCTCCATTCCTTAACAGTCGCCGAGTTACGAGACTTCGTAAACACGTCCTCATGGATTTTGCCCATAATGTAAAGATTGCATACGTCGATATTCCACCGTGAGTGCTTGTACAACACGCTGATCAAATCTCTTCACATCCTTAATGGATCTTATTGTGTTAGATTTAGTAGTTTGAGCTTTAGCCACGAAATAGCTTTGATATTCAATTGAACAGCTGAAGCAGCAAGCACTATATTAATACAGTGGGAGTCATCGGGCGAAGCGAACATAATATCTGCAATGCGAGTGTCATACAAGCACTCAAGGTGGAATTTGGGCCAAATATGCGATCTTTACATTTGGGTAAAATTCATAAGGACGTATTTTATAGGCTCGTAACTCGGCGATTTTTATAGAATGGAGCCTGGGTCACGAACCATTCGATAGCACTTCTTCTAGCAACTTTGAATTAGAAAAGCAAGCAGGCAAGTTTTCTGATAGATACGCGAGAAGTGCGGGCAAAGTTACGCATTTTCGTAATTCAGTTACAGTTCCCTCACCTCATATCTCTGCAGAAAAACCCTATAATCCTCAGAAACCACGATATTCGTAAAGAGCGTGTCAAAAACCTCTATCAGCGAAGTTTCCGTACAATCCAAGGCCATCAACATTTTGACCAAAATCCATCGGCGAACTACAGAGCCTGAAACGAGAAAAAATCAAACAACCCGAAGTTCTTTGAAAACTCGCTGCTCATAGAGGTTATCGACCTGTTGTTCACGAAACTCACCTGCTTAGCAAGATAGCTTCGTATTCTAGTGCTATGGCGAGTAGAATATGGGATGTTGGATGGAAAGCAATGTATTAGGTCGTTCCATAGTTCGTAGCGTTTTTCTTTTGTCGTCGTATTTTGGTGAAGCGGTAGGTTTACCGCAAAATATGTGTACCCTCCGAAAAAGCCAATTCTACTCTACAAGAAATGCATTTCATTTTCAAAGTAAACCTGATGACCTCCGTTTTGTGACTGCTCAAAGTAGAGTTTTTTGTGTAGCAAAAAATGGCGCTTTCGGCATCTCCATCTTCGGCGCTATATACGAGAATTACGAGAGGAAGAATTCTGTTCAAAATTGCTATAAGTGATGAAGAATACTTTTTAACGGACTATGATGCACGTAGAACAGGCATTTTTGTCAAGGGAGACGCTACAGAGAATGATAGAGCGCACTTTTACGGCATGTGTAGATGTTTTGCGTTTGGCCGGAATGAGGAAGTTTTCTGAGCCAAAATTTTTCGAGAAAGCGTAAAATCGCTGGTCGCCGGTTGCATTCAAACATTTGCACCACCTAGACAAAGCTGTTCATCGCTCAAAGCTTGATACCAGGACGAGAATATTCTGTTACAAAACGATGCGTAAAACTCAAGCTGCAGCAGTCGAAGACAGCAGCTTTTGAGACTTCGTTCAAACAGTTCTTAGCACATTGGCTGGACACCATCGTGTCAGCACATCAGCTTTGCTTGCTACTTGCTACTCCGACTATACATACAGAGAAATATTTGTGGGATATGAAAGAAATGCGAAAAGCACAGGTGCCGAAATGGCCATTTTCTGTCACTTACAAAACTTTGCTTTAAAAGATTATGAACCAAAAATCATCAGGATTGCTTCAAAAACAGCAGGCAGTTTTTGTAGAAAAAAAACCTAGCTGTTTCGATTAATACCAGATGATCTGCCGTAAACCAACTGCTTTAACAGAAAACGACGACGAAGATGAAAACGCTACGAACTTTTGGAACAGCCTAATACATGGCAGTGTATTGTAATTGAATGTATTATAATTAATTGAGTATCATAATTAAGTATAATAATCAATTATTATCATAATTATTACAATATATTAAGTCGTTTCAAAAGTAATTTCGCTTTTTTCAAACGGAATTGCATTTTCATTTGATGGAACAAAGGTTCAGAAGTGGTCTTGGAAGCATTCGATGCAGCATTTCATTCTCTTTCTAATGGTTATGAAATTGTTGCAAAACAGTCAATGAGCTTTCAGAAAATAACCAAAATCTGCGGCCCATGCTTTTTGAGATGGTCAAGTTTCACGATTTTTTAAAACTTTCGTATCAATCCTCAAAAGGAGTTCAACTAAAGATTCGATAGAGTAAACCTTACAGAATACCTACTTTTTCTCTTTCTTGTAATTCGCCATAATTTTTTAAAAG